TCTAGCAAAAGAAAATAAAATCCAGGCCTCAAAAATTTGCATAGATAAATATCCAAGGAAAAGGAATAACTCAGTTGAATATTGCAAAATATAAGGAAGCAAGGTGCCATGAATAAGAGATGGCAGAAACAACAGGGAAAAAAGATCCCAAAAGTCTTCTGATGTTGGAACTATCAGGCACAGAATATAAAATAACTATATCTAATATGTTTAAAGGAATAGAAGTGAAGACTCAAAATATGAGGAAAGAACATGAGACTCTAGAGATGCACGAAAAGATTTTTAAAGGAAGCAAATAAAATTTCTAGAAGTCAAAAATTGAATTGATAAAAAGATCAAAAGAGAGGCACCTGGATGGCTCAGTTGGCTGAGCATGTGACTCTTGATTTCAGCTCAGGTCATGATCCCAGGGCCATGGGATTCAGCCCCGCATGGGTCTCTGAGCTGAGCATGGAGCCTGCTTGGGATTCTCTCTCTCTCTCTCTCTCTCTCTCTCTCTCTCTCTCTCTCTCTCTTTCTCTCTTTCTCTCTTTCTCTCTCTCTCTCGTTCTCTCTAACTTCACAGAATTGTTAAAAGACACAGGTCTGGTAAAAATAAACCAAACTAAAAAGCAAAATGAGAGGGAAAAAAGTCTGTACCTAGTTACAGCTGCAAACATCAAAAGATAAAAAGACATGCAGAAAGAAGACACATTACCCACAATGGAATAATAATTACTCACAATGAAATACCAATTAGGCCAACACCCGACTTTTCAACAGCAATGATGGAGGCCAGAAAATAGTGGAATAATATCTTTGATAGGCTTTGATAAAACAGCTGTCAATCTATTAGTCTATACCCTTGAAGAACTAGGGAGAATTAAAATACATTTTCAGACAAATAAAAACTGAAACACTTTGCTACCAAAAGAACTCACTGAAGGAGTTTCAGAGGAAGGACTCAGTTGCAAAAGAAATGGTGCTCAAAGACATCAGGACATCAGTGACTGTTTGTAATAACTGATAACATTGGTCGTAATGTAATAAAAGTCAGTGGTAATAATTGGCCTCAAACACTGTGATAGTAACTTATAAATAGTGAGGGGTGGTCAGAATTAAAACATTCTAAGGGCTTTGCATTTTTTTAAAGTAAAAATACTGAATAACTAAAGTCTGACAACTATTCCATTAAAATAGTCGGAATAACCACAAAAATAAAAAACAGAGTATATTTAAAAAAAAACAGAGTATATTACTTTTGAGTTAGTATACGTGAAAAAAATCAAATAAGAGGAAAGGAAAACTGCATGAATTTGAAAGGCAACAATATGAGGAGGGGAGGCAGAAAAGGTCACACAAAGAGCTATAATCCGAATATTTCAATAACCACAATAAATGAAAATGTATTGATTTTTTCCATTAAAAGAAGGCAAATGTCAGACTAGATTTTTAAAAATCCATGGGGCGCCTGGGTGGCGCAGTCGGTTAAGCGTCCGACTTCAGCCAGGTCACGATCTCGCGGTCCGTGAGTTCGAGCCCCGCGTCAGGCTCTGGGCTGATGGCTCAGAGCCTGGAGCCTGTTTCCGATTCTGTGTCTCCCTCTCTCTCTGCCCCTCCCCCGTTCATGCTCTGTCTCTCTCTGTCCCAAAAAAATAAATAAACGTTGAAAAAAAATTTTTTAAAAATCCAGCTATCTAGGGGCACCTGGCTGACTCAGGAGAGCATGCGACTCTTGATCTCAGGGTGGTGAGCTCAAACCTGGTGTGGTGCCTACCTTAAAAAAATAAAAATAAAACTTCAGCTGCTTAAAGCTGGTACTCCAAAAATGTAAGAATGCAGAAAGTTTGAGAATCAATGGAAACCAAACTGATAATCAATGAAATAAATCATTCACTGTCTCGTCTCCGAATTTTCTAGTTTTGAAATTAAGCTAAAAAGAAATGACCCCCACAGTCACCATAAATAAACAGTTACTAGGCAATGCTGCACGCAGGTATGTGCTGCTGAGGCACTCAGGGAAGAAAAAGAAGCAAACTCTAAACTTTAGAAGTTCAAAACATCGGGGCGCCTGGGTGGCGCAGTCGGTTAAGCGTCCGACTTCAGCCAGGTCACGATCTCGCGGTCCGTGAGTTCGAGCCCCACGTCGGGCTCTGGGCTGATGGCTCGGAGCCTGGAGCCTGTTTCCGATTCTGTGTCTCCCTCTCTCTCTGCCCCTCCCCCGTTCATGCTCTGTCTCTCTCTGTCCCAAAAATAAATAAAAACCGTTGAAAAAAAAAATTAAAAAAAAAAAAAGAAGTTCAAAACATCATGAATTCTCTAGCCATAGATTTTGTAATGGCATGGTTTTTATATCTTGCATAGAAAGTGTCCTTTTCTTTTGGAAAAAGTACCTTAAGATCAAGATTTTGAAAGTATGGGATCATCTTCTATTGTTTACTTCTATTTTTTTTTAATTTTTTTAATATTAAAAAAAATTTTAATGTTTATTTATTTTTGAGAGATAGAGCACGAGTGAGGGAGGGGCAGAGAAGAGGGAGACACAGAATCTGAAGCTCCAGGCTCTGAGCTGTCAGCACAGAGCCTGATGTGGGGCTTGAACTCATGAACTGTGAGATCATGACCTGAGCCAAAGTTGGATGTTTAACCGACTGAGCCACCCAGGTGACCCTATTGGTTACTTCTTTGATCATCTTGTTCACCAAAAAGAATACAGAATCTTAAACTCTGGCAACACCTACCCTTCTTAAATTATAATTGCTATCACTTGTTTCAGAAAATAGAGGTGGGGGGGAGAAAACCCACCGAAGTTCCTACATATTTAAATGGACAGTAGCTTTGTAAGTGACCCAATTGCATATTTATAAGCTATCCACTAATCTGTTTCAAGATTTCTTGATATAATTTTTTTTAATATGTATTTATTTCTGAGACACAGAGAGACAGAGCATGAGTTGGGGAGGGGTAGAGAAAGAGGGAGACAAAGAATCCAAAGCAGGCTCCAGACTCTGAGCTGTCAGCACAGAGCCTGACCCAGGGCTCGAACTCACGGACCGTGAGATCATAACCTGAGCCAAAGTCAGTCGCTCAACCAACTGAGCCACCCAGGCGCCCCATTTCAGGATTTCTTTAAGAGTGTGTGTGATAAAATGGAATTTGAAGTGTTCCATCTCTTCAACCCTCTCGAGTCACTGAAGTGCTTCCCTCTTGAGACCCAAGTAAGCAAGAGTAGTTACTTCTGTTAATGCTCTTAAGATTGCCACAAAGGAGAACAATTCACTCTAGTAATGTTCATGACACCTCTAACTCATGAAATGCAAGACCTGAAAGGGACCATAGGGAGTTTTGAGTCTGACCCTTCTTCACTTAACAACTGAAAATCTGAAACCCGGAGAAATGAAATGATTTTCCCTAGGTGTCCCGCTGGTTAATTGCATTAGGGACAAGAACCCAGATCTAACTCCCTCCAATTTGAAAACATTCTACCACTTTCCATTTACCATTCTTTGGGTAAAACCTAATTTTTTAAAAGTTTTGAATCTGGTATATTTAACACACAGTGTTATGTTTGTTTCAGGTGTACAATATAGTGATTTGACAATTGCATACATCACCCGGTGCTCATCAAGTGCATGCCTTAATCCCCATCACCAATTTCACCCATCCCCCCACCCCCTCCCCTCTGGTAACCATCAGTTTGTTCTCTGTAGTTAAGAGTCTGTTTCTTGGACGGGGCGCCTGGGTGGCTCAGTCGGTTAAGTGTCCGACTTTGGCTCAGGTCATGATCTCACAGTTCGTGGCTTCGAGCCCTGCGTTAGGCTCTGTGCTGACAGCTCAGAGCCTGGAGCCTGTTTCAGATTCTGTGTCTCCCTCTCTCGCTGCCCCTCCCCCGTTCACACTCTGTCTCTGTCTCAAGAATAAATAAACATTAAAAAAATAAAAGAGTCTATTTCTTGGTTTGTCTCTCTCTCTCTCTCCCTTTGCTCATTTGTTTTGTTTCTTAAACTCCACATCTGAATGAAATCATATGGTATTTGTCTTTCTCTGACTGACCTATTCTGTATTACAATTTTAAATACCTAACGAGAAGAGTACAAACTGTTGACTGGAGGGAGATTTCTATTTCCCAGACTCATCAGAATGATGGATTCTAACTTTCTTGGGTCATTATCTCCAAGATGCTACAGTGAAGCAAATGGCAATTTGTCCAGATCCACATTCCCTTTCATTCCTTCCTGGCACCATCATTGTATTCACAGGGAGTTCAAAGACGAACCTCAGAGCCCCAGCAGACAGGGGGAAAGGGCAGGGGTGGCTAATTTTCCAAAGGCAGCTTCAAACATGTTGCTAGTACTTTATTACATTCTTTCCCTAGTAATCATCTTACTGAAATGGTATTTTTATATTTAGACAAGATGAAACCTTTCCTTAGTGTCGACTTTTTCTCTCCTCATCTGAAAGAATGTAGGAGAAATTAAAGAGGATATAAGATAAGTAACTAAAAGGCTTAAAGAATGGGAATGTTTCTTTACAGGAGACAAATGAGGTGAAAAAGAGACAGCTAGGTGGCGATTTAAATGCAGAAAAAATACAGTAAGAGGTACTGTAAGATTGTCTCATTGAAAAGCAACATGTTAATCTTTAAGGTAGCTTCAAATTCAGAGTTCTGTATTATTATATTGCCACTAATAATAATAATAAGCTATATACTTGAAAAATTCTGTAAGTATGTGATTAGCTTTGTAAGAAACTGTCAGTGTATTTTTCAAATTGCCTGTGCCATTTTGCAACTCCATAAGCAATGTATGAGAGTTCCAATTTTGCCACATCGTTGCCAGCACTTGGTATTGTCAACTTAAATTTTTTTAGCCATTTTAGTAATTATGTGCTTTTTGTATCCTATTTAAAAATTCTTTGCCTAATGCAAGGTCATAAAGGTGTTCCCTAAGTTTTCTCTAGAAGTTTTATAGCTTTAACTCTTATACTCAAGTGTAACCTTGATTTTTTCCTCTGAAATTTAGTGCACAAGACCAAGGAAGGAATGGGCCCAGGAATCCTTTGGAGGAAATATGGAGAGCATTGGCAATAGTTGTTAAGGTGAGTAATATATAAACATATATGTATTTGCAATTTATAAATAAAACCAATAATCATTTCAACATTTCTTGACATTCTGTGTGTAATACAGATTTTCCTCGATTTATAATGGGGTTATGACCTGACAAACCCATTGTAACTTGAAAAGATTGTACGTCAAAGTGCATTTAATACACTTAACCTGCCTTACGTCGTAGCTTAGCCTAGCCCACCTTAAACGTGATCGGAACACTTACATTAACCTACAGTTGGGCAAAATCATCTAATACAAAGCCCATTTCATAATAAAGTGTTGACTGTCTCATGTAATGTATTGCGTGTTGCACTGAAATGGTTGTACGGGTATGAGTGGTTGCATAAGTGAAGCAGTTGTTTACCCTCATGACTGGGACCTGCGGCTGCTGCTTTCTGAAATCATGAGACAGGGTCACTGCATAGCCTGGGAAAAGATCCAGATTCTAAATTCAAACTATGGTTTCTTTTTTTTTTTTTAAGTTTTATTTATTTATTTTGAGAGAGACAGAGATAGCGCACAAGCAGGGGAAGGGCAGAGAGAGAGGGAGAGAAGGGATCCCAAGCAGGCTCCACACCAGCAGCACAGACCCCAATGCTGGGCTCAAACTCATAAATCATGTGATCACCACCTGAGCTGAAATCAAGATTCGGACGCTTAACCAACTGAGCCACCCAGGAGCCCCTCAAAGTATGGTTTCTACTGACTGCATATGGCTTTCAAACCTTCATAAAGTTGAACCATTGTAAGTCAAACCATCATAAGTTGGGGACCATCTGTACACACAACCATGAATTGTGGGCAAGGACGACTGTCAAGAAGTAGTAGACCCACTGACTTCTTTCTCATGCATTACCATTTATTTAAAGAGATGAGGCAAAAGAATTTGAATACTGATTCCAGGGGAATTCTACCAAACATTTAAGGAAGAGTTAACACCTGTTCTCTTGAAGCTGTTCCAAAAAATAGAAATGGAAGGAAAACTTCCAAACTCTTTCTATGAAACCAGCATTACCTCGATTCCAAAACCAGACAGAGACCCCACTAAAAAGGAGAACTATAGACCAATTTCCCTGATGAACACGGATGCAAAAATCCTCAACAAGATATTAGCCAACTGGCTCCAACAATACATTAAGAAAATTATTCACCACGACCAAGTCGGATTTATACCTGGGAAGCAGGGCTGGTTCAATATCCGCAAAACAATTAATGTGATTCATCACATCAATAAAAGAAAGGACAAGAACCATATGATCCTCTCAACAGATGCAGAGAAAGCATTTGACAAAATACAGCATCATTTCTTGATAAAAACCCTCAAGAAAGTAGGGGTAGAACGATCAAACCTCAAGATCATAAAAGCCATGTATGAACGACCCAACACTAATATCATTCTCAATGGGGAAAAACTGAGAGCTTTCCCCCTAAGGTCAGGAACAAGACAGAGATGTCCACTCTCACCACTGTTATTCAACATAGTCTTGGAAGTCTTAGCCTCTGCAATCAGACAAAACAAAGAAATAAAAGGCATCCAAATCAGCCAGGAGGAAATCAAACTTTCACTCATTGCAGATGACATGATATTCTATATGGAAAGCCCAAAAGATTCCACCAAAAAACTGCTAGAATTGATTCATGACTTCAGCAAAGTGGCAGGATATAAAATCAATGCACAGAAATTGGTTGCATTCCTATATACTGACAATGAAGCAACAGAAAGAGAAATCAAGGAATCAATCCCATTTACAGTTGCACCAAAAACCATAAAATACCTAGGAATAAATCTAACCAAAGAGGTGAAAAATCTATACACTGAAAACTATAGAAGGCTTATGAAAGAAATTGAGGAAGGCATAAAAAAATGGAAAAAGATTCCATGCTCCTGGATAGAAAGAACAAATATTGTTCAAATGTCGATACTACCCAAAGTGATCTACATATTCAATGCAATCCCTATCAAAATAACACCAGCATTCTTCACAGAGCTAAAACAATTAATCCTAAAATTTGTATGGAACCAGAAAAGAGCCCGAATAGCCAAAGCACTCTTGAAAAAGAAAACCAAAGCGGGAGTCATCACAATCCCAGGCTTCAAGCTATACTGCAAAGCTGTAATCATCAAGACAGTATGGTACTGGCACAAGAACAGACACTCAGATCAATGGAAAAAAATAGAGAATGCAGAAATGGACCTACAAAATGTATGGGCAACTAATCTTTGACAAAGCAGGAAAGCATATCCAATGGAATAAAGACAGTCTCTTCAGCAAGTGGTGCTGGGGAAACGGGACAGCGACATGCAGAAGAATGAACCTGGACCACTTTCTTACACCATACACAAAAATAAACTCAAAATGGATGAAAGATCTAAACGTAAGACAGGAAGCCATCAAAATCCTCGAGGAGAAAGCAGGCAAAAACCTCTTTGATATTGGCCACAGGAACTTCTTACTCAACACATCTCCAGAGGCAAGGGAAACAAAAGCAAAAATAAACTACTGGGACCTCATCAAAATAAAAAGCTTCTGCACAGCAAAGGAAACAATCAGCAAAACTAAAAGGCAACCGATGGAGTGGGAGAAGATAATTGCAAACGACATATCAGATAAAGGGTTAGTATCCAAAATCTATAAAGAACTTATCAAACTCAACATCCAAAAAACAAATAATCCAGTGAAGAAATGGGCAAAAGACATGAATAGACACTTCTCCAAAGAAGACATCCAGATGGCCAAAGGACACATGAAAAAATGCTCAACTTCACTCATCATCAGGGAAACACAAATCAAAACCACAATGAGATACCACCTCATACCTGTCAGAATGGCTCACATTAACAACTCAGGCAACAACAGATGTTGGGGAGGATGCGGAGAAAGAGGTTCTCTTTTGTATTGTTGATGGGAATGCAAGCTGGTACAGCCACTCAGGAAAACAGTATAAAGATTCCTCAAAAAACTAAAAATAGAACTACCCTACGACCCAGCAATTGCACTACTAGGTATTTATCCAAGGGATACAGGTGTGCTGTTTTGAAGGGACACATACACCCCAATGTTTATAGCAGCACTATCGACAATAGCCAAAGTATGGAAAGAGCCCAAATGTCCATTGATGGATGAATGGATAAAGAAGAAGCAGTATATATATATACAATGGAGTATTACTTGGCAATCAAAAACAATGAAATCTTGCCATTTGCAACTACATCAATGGAACTGGAGGGTATTATGCTAAGTGAAATGAGTCAGTCAGAGAAAGACAAATATCATATGACTTCATTCATATGAGGACTTTAAGAGACAAAACAGATGAACATAAGGCAAGGGAAGCAAAAATAATATAAAAACAGGGAGGGAGACAAAGCATAAGAGACTCATAAATATGGAGAACAAACTGAGGGTTACTGGAGGGGTTGTGGGAGGGGGGATGGGCTAAATAGGTAAGGGGCATTAAGGAATCTACTCCTGAAATCATTGTTGCACTATATGCTAACTAATTTGGATGTAAATTAAAGAAAATAAAATTAAAAGAAAAGAATTTGAATAATGAAAATGGTTTAAAAACAGCACACATTTAATGGAGAAGCATAAGGTTAGACCAGTCATTCTCCTTTGGAAAGGAATTATATTCCTCTATGGCTAAGGAGATTCTTCAGATTATACAGGTCCCCACATCCATATGCTGAGGCTCTGGTACAAACTCTTTCTTCACCCATTGAGAATAGATGCATACTGAGCCACTGTTACAAAAGAACATATTTGATCTCTCAGATAAGTTGCTATGGGGAAAAGTCATGAACTATTATAAGAAGTGTCTAGTGATTCATGGATAGGTTTAAACCGGTCTTGAAGAAAGCATAGGGTTTGGATGGACAGAGAAGATGGAAATCATTTCAAGTATGATACTTGCTAGAGGGGCAGGAAATTAACCATGAGATGTTCACATTCCTGTGGGGCACAAGTTAAGGAAGGGAGATAAGTCTGAAAGGATAGATTATGGTGAAATCGTGGAATATGAACTCCATAAATTAGGCATTTTGTCTACCTTATTTACTTCTGTATGTCCAGCATCTGGAACAGTGCCTTGCATATTACAGGCCTTCGTGTATGTTGAATGAACGAGGCCTTGAATGTCAAATTTAACATTTAGGACATAATCTTCCAGCATCTGGACAGTGGAGAATAACTGGTGGTATTAATGGAGATATGCACCCAGAGTTCCAGCAGGAGATCGAGATGAAGCTATAGGAAGCAAGGGTGCAGGGGGAAGGCAAAAGTTAAGAACTCCTAGAAACGTTCAGACAGAGGGTGAGAAGAAAGAAAATCCAGGAAGATAAAGAAGCACTGTTAGATAATAAACAGAACAAACATAAAATATCACTTTATAATTTACAAACTCTCTCTTATGTATGATAACACATAAGGCAGGCATTGCTTCTCCCATTTTACAGAGGTAGAATAATAATATAAACATTAACAAAGTAGAGGTAAAAAAAAAAAAAAAAGAGCCAAACCAATCGCAGAAACTAAAAGTAGTACTAAGAATAACTGGCTAGGGGCGCCTGGGTGGCTCAGTCGGTTGAGCCTGGGCTCAGGTCATGATCTCACAGTTCGTGAGTTCGAGCTTCACTTCAGGCTCTGCTGACAGCTTGGGGTTGGGGCCTGCTTCAGATTTTGTATCTCCCTCTCTCTCTCTCTCTCTGCCCCTCCCCTGCACACACTTGGCTCTTTCTCTCAAAAATAAATAAACATTAAAAAAATTAAAAAAAAAAAAAAAAAGAATAACAGGCTAGGGAGTGCCTGCCTGGCTCAGTCAGTATAGCATGCTACTCTTGATCTCAGGGTTGTGAGTTCAAGCCCCATGTTGGGTATAAAGCTTACTTTAAAAAAAAATCAACTGGATTTAGTAAGAATTAAAAAACAAAGTACAGGTTAATCAGTCTGGATCTAATCGGGAAATAGAAAACACACTAATTTGAACAGAGGAGGTTATATATAAAGAGTTATTATTAAACTAGAATAGGAGAGTAACTACTTTAAAAGATGTAAAAAGAGGGGAGTCTGGGTGACTCAGTTGGTTGAGTGTCCAATTCTTGATTTGGCTCAGGTCGTGACCTCAGGGGCCTGGAATCAAGCCTTCTGTTGGGCTCCTCGCTGAGCATGGAGCCTGCTTGAGATTCTCCCTCTCTCTCTCTCCCTCCACCCTTCTCTCCCTCTTGTCTTCGCATGCTCTCTCTCTAAGAAAATAAAAAGTAATAAGTTAAAAATTAAGTTTAAAAAAAAAAGATGTAAAGAGAACTCAAAAGGATAAGTAGGCTGTTGGAGAGTGTCCAAGGAAGGGAAAACTTGGAGGAAGGCCCACTCCCCAAGCCTGGGTTTTAGACCTCATTAGAGAAGGTATGGTTACCCCCATGGAATAGCAGGGAAGTTTGCTGGATGCCTGAGCCAAAGCTGTTCCACAGCTACTAGGCTGTGGGCAACAACCCTCTAGGGCACAGATGAGCCAAGGCTGGTCGGATGGTGCACAGAGAGAGTCCAGCTGCCACTGCTGACAGGAGGTCTGGAACAATCCAGCGTTGATGTCAAAGAGTCGTGAAGTGGTCAATTTGGCCTGGACCTCACTGCAAGATCACCAAGGGATGGTGTATGGCTGGTTCAGAGTGTCTCCAGACATCCCCCTCTACACAACATTGATGCACCTTTAAGCAGGAGTTTAACAAAGAAAATCATAGCGCACTGACACCAGAAGCCTCCTTCTTCCTGCAGCGTCTCTCCCGTACCCTCTACTGGCATTGTGCTCACCATAATAAAGAAATGCTATAAACAGCAATCCATTAGCACAGAATAGATATAGGAACTGAAAAGGAATAAATTGGTGGCTTGCACCATGGATTATTTGACATTTTCAAGAGTGCCTGTATACAACTGAGCTGTTCTGAGCTGGACTGGGGTGCTTAGAGAGGATTGAGAGGGAGGGGGAGTGGAAGGAGTAGGGTAGGTAGCTGAAGGTTGACATAGCAACTCTAGAGCAAAGTGAGAGATTTTATGTCTCAGCATTTCCGTATAAAATCCCAGAAAACAGGAAAAGATTCTGGTAAACCGAGCCCAGGTCTCCTACCCAAACCTGGTCTTTCCCTGTGGCAAGAGGCACTGAGTATCATGATTGACCAAGCCTGAGTCAGTCGCTCACCCCTTTGGCCACAGAGCTGAGTCACTATGATTGACAGCTGTATCAGATCATCATAAAGTGGGAGAGGTAAATTTTCCCAAAGGGAGAGTGTTATGACCAAAAGAGGGACAGAGATGCTGGTGTCTATTACAGGGATGAAAATGGGATAAAGCTGTCTCTGAAAAGGGCTTTTTGTTGTTGTTGTTGTTTTGTGTTTCTGTTTTGTTTTGTTTTTACTGTATTGTTACATTAATTCATTCTTTTAAGAGTCCCGTATTAATCTTAGGGCAGAGCTGGATGGAGGTCATGACAGGAAGCAGTGCAAAGTGAATGCTACATCAGAATGTGTCAGTAGTCTCCCTCTCTTACTCCTCTGACAGTCACCACAGAGCAGTCAATGTTTTGAGATAGTAGAATTTTTATTTTAATTCTCCATTAATTGATGTGAATGATATATAAAAACAAAGCGATTCTAAACCTTAAATATTTCTCTGAAGATAGATAAAATCTATTTCCCCCTTCCCAAGAAGTACGCATGGGTTGAACTCCAATGTTGCTGCTTTTGTTTTGCAATGGTCTGAAGTTCAGTACAGTGAAATCCAGTTACCCAACTGGAGTTAACTATACCAAGGCAATGGATACCAGCAAGAAAGGTGTGGAAAACAATGCCGGTACCCATTTGTTCCTCGGTTGGATCAGAAGAGTTTCAGTGATACCAAATCTTGTGCCGGTTGTGACATCTGTGTCCATGAATATGCTGACTGTGACTGGGCACCCTTCATATGAAGAGATCTGAGTTCTTCATGGCATGCCAGATGCAGTTGCTATTATTGGATAATCATCCAATTTCTCCATATGCCTTCCAAGGGAAAACGAGTCAGTTTCAGGTAAGCATCTAAGTAGCTCTTATCTGCTCAGCATTGTTTCTTTATAGATACTAAAAATAAATAGGGCAAAAATTTTCCAACTTGATCCCTTTAATAATTTATATGTAGGTGTCTGAGAGCACTAAGAAAATTAAACTATTTTTAAAGGCTGATAAATAACAATCTACTATGAGGAAACCAGTCTGAGAAGAAAAATAATTCAACATTCTAATTTAATAGAATACAGCATTTTTTGACACATCTTAATTGTTAGTCATATTAACTAGTTGCTAGTTAACTATATATAGTTATATATGTCATATATATTACATATAATATATAGTTATATATATATAATTACTATATTGTATTATATATATATATATGGTAATTTTAAAAACTTTTTTTGGTGAAATACTTAGCCAAGATTTTTTAAAAATTTTTTAAAATATTTATTTATTTTTGAGAGAGAGAGTGCAAGCAGGGGAGGCACAGAGAGAGAGGATGACACAGAATCCGAAGCAGGCTCCAGACTCTGAGCTGTCAGCACAGAGCCCAACAGGGGGATTGAACCTACGAACTGTGAGATCATGACCTGAGCCAAAGTCGGACGCTTCACTGATGAGCCACCCAGGCACCCCTTTAGCAAAGTACTTTAATGAGTTTAATGATTTTGTGATTTGTACTCAAAGTTTGTGTTTTTTCTTAAGGACTTTATAAGCCTAAGATGAAAGAATGTTTGTTTTTAGGGTTTTAAAAAACTGTGTTTATGATTAAACTTGACAAAGACCTCAATATAGACCTTTAACTCTTGGTACCAAGGCTCTGCCAGAGGGACAGAGCAAGCAAGTTTAAAACCTCTTCCTATTGGCAAGTTCAGACACTGTTTCACGTGTAATTGAACAGGTTACACTCGTTCACAGCATCAAACTTCCAAGATGGCTGGAATTTGGTTCTCTACGAAAACCTTGCAAGGACTGCCTTTAGAAGATGACGGAAGAGATCATCAAATCGTGGTGCTGGTGTCTGGAGATCTTTGTTTCTAGTGAACACAAATAGCCCCCATCATCTTTACCCCTCATGTGCTGGCTAGGAATGAAGTAAGGGGCGAAAGCTTGTTTTCTTCTCCAAATGGGCAAGTGTCTTCATTCAAAAGTAGCAGGGCACCTCTGTGTGGTGCTCACCTTATGGACTTAGTCAAAAGAACCGGGCAGGCTTTGGAGAAGTAAGATCTTAGATTAGAGAAAGAGTGAGGAACAGAAGACCATCACAAATGGGAAGAAGAAGAGACATTTCACTGGAATCTTAAAGCAAAGTTTATTGTGGAAATTTATGGAACTGGAAAACAACCTCCTGAAATAAATGAAATCTTGAGAACTTAACTTTTATTTTTCATGTCATTTTACTTTACACTCAGGGACCATGCATTAATTGAAAGCAGTCCTTTCTCTTTTTCTCTTTCAAAAGCCAGGGTCCTGTATACATGCATGCCTTATAAGCACAGAATATGTCTCAATATTATGGTAGCAGTAAGGGAGAGAAACTGGAAGTTGGGCAACCAATGTGAGGGGGTTAAAAAGGTACACTATGAGGAGCGCCTGGGTGGCTCAGTCAGTTAAGTGCCCGACTTCAGCTCGAGTCATGATTTCATGGTTCGTGAGTTCGGGCCCCAAATTGGAGTTGCTGCCGTCAGCAAAGAGCCCACTTCAGATCTTCTGTCTGCCTCTCTTTCTGTCCCTCCCTGACCCTCTCAAAAATAAACATTTTTTTTAAAGTACACTGTGAATTTTATATTGTGCTCATGCCGTATCTATGAAAAATAGATTAAAAAAACAGTTCTACATTTCGATTATTTTTTATTTTCTTCAAATAATTTTCCAATGTGGAAGTAACCATGTCATTTGCTATTCCACTTCATCTAAATTTTTGAAGCTTATCTCTGCAAAGTTGCTTTTAATTTCTAAAAGGATTTTTATGCAAAACTATGAAGATTATAGTTCAGGCCAATAACACTAACTCCGACATAGCAGCTCACAATTTGTAAAGTGCTTCCACGTATATTATTGCATCTTTTTTTCATTGTTTTTTTCATTTATTTATTCATTCATTAGATAAGGATTTGGTGAGTGCCCACTATTTGCCAGATCCCTGAACTAGGAGTAGGAGATAATATGAATAAACTGCCACTAAGGAACTCAGTCTAATAGTCCAGAAGGGTATGCAAAAATGTAAAAAATGATAACTAAAAAATTAGAATATAGAGTAATGCGTGCAGTTACAGCACCATATATTAGATATAGAGGCTGAGTTAGTAGCTTAGTTCAATTTGGGGAAGGATTCTGGCAAAAACTTTTTGGATGAAGTAATGCCCATGATGGATTTTTAAAGTTGAAGCAGCTAGCTAACTGGAAAAGGAGGAAAGACACTCTAGGTTCAAAGAAGGACTTGTTTCATGGTTACAAAAACCACTGGGATGATTTACAGGTATGGACCCGTTGAATCGGTACTAAAACCAACAGTTACAACAAACCTTGTGTGTTTAGGAAACCACATAAAATTTGGTATTGCTGGAACACAGCACAAGTTGGGGAGTGGCAGGAAATGAGGCTGGAGAGGTTAGCAGAGCCTGGACCTTACAAGGTTTGTGGGCTCCATAACAGTTACCACGTTTGTAAGTCTTGGAGATGAAGGGAGGAAATGGAAGCCTTAAGAATGCATCACAAATGTAATCCATTCATTCGACTCTAAAAATAAATAACATGTTCCTATTCTTAAAAGATCTAGAATAATTTTTACACTTTTTTATACTTAATCTTTTGGTTTAGCAAGCCTGCTCATTTCAGTATTAACCTGGTGCTATCCTCCCCTCAAAGGCTTTTGGGATCTGTGAGAGTCATTGCTTGAATTTCCACTCAGCATAGCCAAGATCTTCTAGACGTCAGCATCATGACTCAACTCTTAACTGAAACCCAACCACGGGCGCTTCTACTTAAAAAACCACACTGAGGGGCGCCTGGGTGGCGCAGTCGGTTAAGCGTCCGGCTTCAGCCAGGTCACGATCTCGCGGTCCGTGAGTTCGAGCCCCGCGTCGGGCTCTGGGCTGATGGCTCGGAGCCTGGAGCCTGTTTCCGATTCTGTGTCTCCCTCTCTCTCTGCCCCTCCCCCGTTCATGCTCTGTCTCTCTCTGTCCCAAAAAATAAATAAACGTTGAAAAAAAAATTAAAAAAAAAAAAACCACACTGAGCGAAGCATCTGGTTGGCTAGAGCGGTTAAGCATCTGACTTTTGATTTCAGCTGAGGTCATGATCTCACAGTCCATGGGATTCTCTCTCTGCCCCTCCTCCCGCTCACATGCATGCACATACTCTCTCTCTCTGTCTCTGTCTCTGTCTCTCTCTCTCTCAAAATAAATAAATAAACATTTTAAAAGAGAGAGAGAGACAACACATTTAGTAACTTCAGTGACCACTAACCAGTACTGCCATCTAAAAGGAGATCCCCTGTTGGTCTAGATGCAAAAAATATGAGATAAAGAAATATAACATAGGGGCACCTGGGTGGCTCAGTCAGTTGGGTGTCCAACTTCAGCCCAGGTCATGATCTCACCGTTTAGAGTTTGAGCCTCACATCAGGCTCTGTGCTGACAGCTCAGAGCCTGGAGCCTGTTTCAGATTCTGTGTCTCCCTCTCTCTCTGCGCCCTCTCCCCATCCCCCACCCCCAAAAACAAACTTGAAAAAAAAATTTTTAATAAAAATTAAAAAGAAGAAATATAGCAAAGCAAAGTGAAGGGAAGGATGGAAAGAAGAGGATACAGAAAGCTAAAAGGAAGGGTGCAAGGGAGAAAAGACACAAGTAAGGTGAAGAGAAGGACACAGGGAAGAAAACAGGGAGGAGAAAGATAAGAAAGGTCCCGGGAAAGGGAAAAGGAAAGAAAGGAACAGGAAAGGCACAGTAAAGTAAAGGTCTTATCTGGGTGCCAGGAAACTGGCAAATTACCTTATATCAATTAATATTCAAAATATGTCTGCAAGGAAAATGTTATTTTACCTATTTTATTTTAAAAACTGAGGCTCAGGGTGGGTGATGGGTAGTGAGGAGGGCACCTTTTGGGATGAGCACTGGGTGTTGTATGGAAACCAATTTGACAATAAATTTCATATATTGAAAAAAAACTGAGGCTCAGATCAGTTAAATAACTCAAAAGCATATAACTAGTCTAAGTGACAAACTGAACTTATAAACTTTCTAACTCCAAAACCCACAACTTTTCCACTAAAATCCCTACCTTCCAGTTTGAAGTCAGAACACCTGAAATGTGGATCAGGCTCTTACTCTGTGTCTTTGGGCATTTTAATTAGCCACTTTGAATGAGTTCTTCAACCACAAACTAAGGATTATAATAATTGCCATTCCTTCCCTCCTCGTTATCGGAGGTAGCAATGAGATGATGTATGTGAGAATACTATGGATACTCTGAAGAACTACATAAAATTAAGGGATTGCTAATAAAGCAATAATCCATGCTGTGTTATTCTTTTAAATCTTCAGCATTAGGACTCAAGGAGACTCAAGGGAGTTTTCCACCATTATAGCTGAAATTACTGTTAAAGCAGCTACTGAAAGTCTTGGTGTTCAAGAGCGTCTCTTTTTTGGTATACGCACTGGCAGACTATTTCACTTGGATCTTTCCTTAGTGACTATGAGCCCATTCACAAGCAAGATAAACAAGCACCTGTGGAAACCTCCAGTCTTGGCTGAAGATCGTAGGCATGCCTTTCCTTTATAAGGTCACTCTTTAGAATTCCACTGGTTAGCAGAGACTGTGGAATATGAGGTTTCTACATTACTGCCTGAGCTAATACAAGTTTTTCAATATTATGCTTCCTCTAAGTATCTTATATTTTAAGATAGAAGTCTGGATATTACTTTACAAATCTCAAAGAAGAAGACTGAGACAGTTAGGTGCTATCTCAATCACATCAGTGGGGTCAACTGAAATGTCAACAAAACTAAGCAAGCCTTTCTGTTTTATTACCCACCTTTCTCTGCTTCACTAGATCCCTGAAGACGAGGCATCATCAATTCCTAGTTTATTTGCTCCCTTAAGACAGTTTGCTCCTAACCCTGATCCTGACCTTATTCTAAATACACTAAGGTACGTGGAGATTAAAAGCCCACTACACACGTTGGTGTCACAAAATCTCTTAAAGGAAATGACCTTGACAACAAACCTAGAAGGTTATTCCTTCTATTAATAGCTACTTCACTCACAAATGTCGACTTCCTTCAGAGTAGAACTTCCACAGTGTCAATGTTATTAAAAAAAAAAAAAAACTAGACTTTATAGAATAGGCAATAAAGGAGCACACCCTGATCCACAGAATAAAAGTACAAAAGCCTCCTGTTTTATCTGACCTTGTCTCAGAATCGATTAATCAAGCTTGGCATTCACAAGCCCTATTTGCCTTCTCCAAGTACCCTCATTTTTCTTGGGTCCTCTATCTCTCAGGAAGTAATGCAAAATAGAGCCACACTTTCAGAAGGACTATCTTCAATGACAACATTTCTCAGCAACTGGAGTGGCCCTGTTCCAGCCTACCTGGAAAGATCTGTACAGTCATCTTACAGTTTCTTGACTCTTTCAGCATCAGCAAGGGAGACATTGGCAGCCTCTCATTTTCCTCTTGAGTTCAGCCAGTTGCACCTGTCAAGTCAGCTAAAACAAAAGCATCTTCATGACCATAAACATATGTCTGAGACTCCTACAGTTTGTCACCAGATTCATTCATTCCCCATTCCTATGGAAACAATTTTACCTCTTGGCATGAGCGTAAACACAAACTTTGTAGGGGATGGCACATCTGACCCGACATGTGATGTGATTATGAAAACCCAACCTTATTCTTAGGAGACCTCATCATTTACTCAGTTACATGATTTATCTGTTTCCTTCCTTTCTGAGCTTCCCAAACTTGCAAAGTCCTCTAGGTACCAGAAGGTATGAGCTCAAAGATTATAATGTATGTTCTTACTCACTGGTACTCAGGCAGAGAATATTTAGCTCACAGCAAATTTTTAAGAACTAGCAAACCTTTGCCAGGCAACATGGTGTTTAACCTGGATTCTACTGAAATGGTGTTAAATCACCCACACAACTCCAAAAACGTATTGACAGCAAGATATGGGACTACTGGGGCACCTGGGTGGTCAGTCTGTTAAGTGTCCAACTTTGGCTCAGGTCATGATCTTGTAGTTCCTGAGTTGGAGTCCCACATCAGGTTCTTTGCTGTCAGCACGGAGCCTGCTTTGGATCCTCTGTCTCCCTCTCTCTGCCCTTCCCCCAGTTGTGCTCTCTCACCAAAATAAATAAACATTAAAAAA